ATATCTTATTATTTATTACAATCTCGTATTTGTGAAAAAAAAATCACTAATGATTCCTATTCTGATTATATTTCTTACCAATTGTATTTATGTAAATATTTCTAATCTAGAAGATAAGTATGTATTTTTCCCAAAAATAATTGGTGCATTGGAGTAATTTTTGTCATCTATGTCAAGTTATTTGTATTTATAAAATTATTTTTATCTTAGAATCTACATTTTGAGGTGAAAATTTGAATAGAGAACCAATTTTAATGGCATTTGTGTTGTGGTATCATCCCAAGATCAAAAACATAATTTGAGAGAAAAACAAGTTTCTATTACTCACAAGAATAAAAACAAAAGATTTACAAACTCTAAACAAAAAACTCTCGAACACTCCACAACTCTTTCTTGGTTGTGTTTCAACACTCTCTAGGTTGATTGATCACTCTCAAGGATGATTTGAATGAATGAATGAAGCACTCTATTTATAGATACAAGATGGCACACCATTATTGACAAAAATGGTGTGAAATGGGAAGGTTGGTGATGGCCACCATTAATGAGAATTCTTCAAAGGTGTGCTTCAATAATGATGTGCTAATGGTGGTAGTTTGTTCACATGCATGGAACTTTCAATTCTCCCCTTTCCATGCAAGTTCTGAACAAGCATTCCTACTATGTCTCTGCATAGTTTAAGCTTATCCAGTGTAACCACTTTTGTCAACATATCTGATGGATTCTCCTTCGTATTGATCTTCACTAGTTTCAACAGTTGTTGATCAATCTTCTCGCGTATCCAGTGATACTGAACATCAATATGCTTTGTGCGGGCATGGTACATAGAGTTCTTGCTTAAGTCAATAGCACTTTGAATATCACAATATACATTGTACTCTTTCTGCTTAATCCCAAGTTCTTGGAGATAGCGCTTTAGCCACAACATTTCTTTACCAGCTTCAGCGGCATCAATATATTCAGCTTTTGTTGTGGATAAAGCAACACACTTCTGCAATCTTGATTGCCAAGAGATGGCTCCTCCTTCAAAAGTGTAGACATAGCCCGAAGTAGACTTTCGACAATCAATATTTCCATCCATATCAGCATCAGTATATCCTTCCAAGACTGGATCAGCTCCCCCGTAACAAAGACATAACTAGAAGTACCCTTCATGTATCTGAGAATCCATTTGACAGCCTCTCAATGCTCCTTCCCGGGGTTAGAAAGAAAA